TTAAAATGTAGCTAAGTTACCGTCATACTTGGCTAAAAAAAAATATTTTCTTCCCTTTCAAAAATTAATTCATATTCCCTGACTAGAAATTTCAATGCTTTTTCAATTTGCCCAATATGTAGCAAACTATGCTAAATTGCATAAGATCTAAAAGTACATATGGGATTTTCAAGAATCGAAAAATGAATTTTACTGATAGGTCAAAATATGACTTAAATATTGAATTTATGGAGAAGTTGAGAAATTTTGTAATTGATAGTAAGTTAAAATAATTATTGGGTACTTGTCAGCTAAACGTCACTGTCGGCTTAATGCCCTGTTAACTAAATGTCTTGATAGTTTAATGTCCCATATCTAAATGCCCTGACGGCTAACTCCCCATGTCGGCTGAACGTCCTTGCCGGCTAACTGTCTATGTTGGCTAAGTGTCCTTGTTGGCAAATGTCCATGTTGGCTAAATGACCTGTCAGCTAATGTCATGACGGTTAAGTGTCTGTTACGGCTAAGTGACCATGTCAGCTAAATGTCCTGTCGGCTAAGTGTCCGTGCCGGCTAACTGGTGTCGGTTAAAGTGTCTTGTCAGCTAAGTGTCACAGACCCAATAAATATCCACTCATGTCTGCTTTACATATACATGAAGTTCAGTCATTGAAATCTTTTCTAAAGCTCAACAAAGCAGTCTTTTCCCTTCAAATATGAAGCAAAGAATGACACAGAAGCGTTCTTCAGTGACATTTAAGTAAGTTACATTTTTTGTAACTTAAATGACAAGTGTGTAAGTAAGTTACATTTTTTAATTATGTAAAAGACATACTCAGACAAGGCCATTATGAAGGAAGCTATCTTGCAATGTAAAGGTCTTTATTTCACAAATTTAAAAACAAGAATGAAAAAATCAAAGCTATAAAAGATGCTTTTGCCATGAAACCTGATGGCATGTCAAGTGGATGATATAGCGAATAAAATTTGTGTACATATGAGATCTGATTTGAAAATATGTGTAAATCTTCCCTTGCATTTTTGATAAAGGGACTGGTCAGTAATATCGGTGGACACTGATATTACTGACTCTCCACAACTTCTGATGCCCATGAGAATGGTGTTTTCTGACCTTTCCGTGAAAGAAGCATATTGACCATCTTGACTTTGGAAAATCACACTTAAGGTCAATGTGTCCACAATTGCGATCGAGGGTGTGCCAACTATGACTGAAAATAATACTGGGTTTACTGGGCTCCCTGTAAGCAGGATATCACATTTTCCAAATTTAATTCAGACCATTGTGTTATTCATAAAGAAAATCTGGCCTCTAAGAAAGCTCAACCTCAATCATGTAATGACTGTTATTATATGCATATTAAATTTTATCCAAGGATGGGCTTTGAATCACTGATTTTTTTAAAGCTTTGCTTGATGAGCTAAATACCAAGTATGGTGATATAATTTATCAAGTAGTTAGATGGTTGAGTCAAGGAAGACCTTTTAACAAGATTTGTTGGAATGTTGTAAGAGATTAAACTTTTCTCAGAGACTATTATGACCAAAAATTAGATGGCATGGAGTGGCTTGCTGACTTGCATTTTTAACTGATATCACTCGAAAATACAACAATCCAAATACCACATTACAAGGAAAGCAAAACCATGTATCAGAAATGATGAGCTCAACATCTGCTTTTTGGGCTAAAATTTGTGAACAACTTAAAGGAGAATATCAACATTTTCCATCATTTACCCTCATTCTAGACATGGAATTTATTCTGGAATATGCTCTCTCTAAGCATGTTGAAAATCTTCTGTTACTTAGCTAAGAATTTAAAAGAAGATTCCAAGTTATGTTTTCTATGAAGACTATTTTATAGTTTACAAAAAATCCTTTCTTGAATTAGACACAACAAAAGTGACTTTGTCAATGAGAAATTTTGTTTTATTAATCAGTTTAGAGGCTGAATTAAAAATTATTATTCTTCATACTCATATAACACTAAAAAAATAGAAAATAAAACAGATGAAGTTTTTAACCTAATGGATCCTATTAAAAATACAAAAAATACTTAAGTATGTACATTTAAGCATGTTTTCAGTCAGCATATCTCTTTAAGCAGCCTTATCCATAACTTAAAAGAATAAAAAGCAAATACAGAAATATGTTGGCTTCACAGCATGTAAAACACGACATGGTGCAGGTAAGCTACGTATCAGAATATAAAAAAACCTTTAATAAGTTGTTAGAGAACATTAATAATCAAATTACTCATTAATAACAAGTAAACGACTTAATGAGATATTTGATAATTTAACAGTTACATTTCTTGTATTCATAATTAGTTTGTTAATATGTGCTTTCATTTATTTCCTAATTTGAAATAAAATTAGTTTGAGCCTACCCCACATTTGTGTTTTATTAGTGGACTTTCTTCAGTACTCTGAAGACATATCCCGACTTTCCCATTATATGGAAACTCAAAAGAATTCAGTAAAATCAGATATTTTCATGATATTGTTTTTCAAACATAAAACACTGTGTGCCTGCAAGATACAGCAGAAATTTAGAAGTGGCCCTTAAAGCAAAACCAGCTCAACACCACTGACCTACAGTATTCACAGGCAGTGAATGACTCCTTATTATATAAAGATTCACCATCGTAAGCCATATGAAAAGTTTGGATGGAGAGAAATACCCATGCAACCACTTTAAAAGCATATAACTAGGTTATTTCTTCAAAGTGGCAGAGACTGTGGGCAATTGAAAGAGTGGTGAGAGCCCACAGTGGATTTCTTTAAACCAATGCTGCGATCAAGATGTTTGCATTTTGATGACATAGCAACTCGCTTCGTCAAGAAAGAATCAGATAAACTTGCACCTATAAGAGAGTTTTTTGAAGATTTTGTGAATAACTGCCAGAAATATTACACTGTCGGTGAGTTCAATGAAATTAATGAATTAACAATTAATGAAAAACTTGAAGCCTTATGAGGAAGATGTTCTTTCAAGCAGTATATTCCTGATAAACCTGAAAAATACTTCCTGAATAACCTGAATAATAATATAACGAATTCCTAATAAATTCTACACTAATGTAATATGTTCTTCTATTACTTTAAAAAATTTTATTTCATAAAGAATATTATAGAAATTGAAATTAAAATTTTAATTTTTATAGTTTGCATATTTTTTAAGTTTGATCAAAAAATTTTAGCATAAATGTAACACTTTTACTTGAGTAACAGTTTTTTTCTTCAAAAAACAGAAGGCGGGTCTTTTGGGCACAGAGTGCGCGCTCCCGCGTTAATGTTTCGCAGTGCTATTTATTTCATATTTTGTAAAACTTACACACTTTTTATTAACCTTAAAACCAAGAAAGATTAATAAAATAAAATTATTTTTTATTAACCTTTCTTGGAGAGGCTGGTCAGTGAGTTTTCCATTTATTATTTTCCTCCTTTTCCCCCTCCCCTTCTGCCTTCTCTTACTTTCTCTCCTTACTTTAAAGAGTGTTACTGATATATGACTTTGGTTTTAATTTCTAATAAAGAAAAATCACGTATGCGTTTGCTCTGCATGGAGGCCCGAAAAGCTGAAACAGAGGGTAACTCTACGATTTGAAAGTGAGTAGCGGAAACATTTTTCAAAATAAAAAGCCTATTTATATTAATAATGCTGGAGTTCTTAATTTATTAATTTATTAGACATGTTCTACTGACAACAATCACAAATGCTTGTAAGATTCTATGAATACTTTCTAGCAAAATTTCACAAATTATTACAGATAAATGTAACACTCTTTGATAATACATTTTTTTAATCCTAAAAGGGAAATGTATTTAGAAATAAATATTACTTTATATTGGATTTATGACTTCGCTATTATACTAACTTTTTTAATTATCATTATTACTAATAGTTACATTAAAAATCAGTAAAAATATATTTATTGGTGCGCCTTGAAGAAAATTGGCATTTTCTGGTGGTACATGGATACCGAGTTTGTGCAATTCTTTAACTTGTCGTTTTGGCTTTATGTAGCGGCGATTTTTGGCCGCTATACAAAGACAGAAAACCAAGTCAAAAAATTGCACAAACTCAGTATCCATAAACACATCGACATATTTTCAATCGCCGCAACACAAAGACAAAATAACAAGTCAAAGAATTGCATAAACTCGCTATCCATGTACACATCGACATATTTTCACTTAAAAAAAAAATCAGAGAATTGCACAAACTTCGCATTGCACACTCCCTTGACTTTATCCACATCGACCTATTTTCACTTAAGAAAAAAATTGAAGAATTGCACATACACATCGCTCTATTTTCACTTAAGAAGTCAAAAGAGCAGCCAACAAAACATATATAATCTTAATAAACTACATTTTAAATCAAACAATCAAATAACATAAAAAAAAAGGAAATTCGTCTTAGCACTACACAAAAGAAATATCCACTTACCTTATTTAGAAATTTCCCTTTATTCAGTCAAACAAAATTCCTTAACAGCATCCAAAAACTTCCTAAAATTATCTGAACTTGAATCTGTATACTGGTGATGCCACATAAATTAACAAAAATAAGAGTAAAAAATATCCTCCATAGTGCCGGCATCCTCCGACATTCAACCATATGCATTTCCTTCCTACAAACAGGACACTTACAATGGCTACTAAGTAAACCTTCATTTACACACCAGTCAATTAATGCTCTTTTCTCCTTTCATTCCAAATCGTACAGAAACTTCAGTTTAATCTTACCACATTCAGCCATTCTACCATCTAAACCACAACATAAGCACTGTACTTCCTAACACACCACAAGCCCTAACAAATTTTTCCCATAATTCAAAACTTACCACTGTGTTATTGTTCAGGTTACCATAAATGAAACAACAACTTGGCGATAAATAAAGCAACAACTCCACGATAATACAAGGGGCACCCTTCAATCTACTCTAACCTAAAAATCCTTTTCAGCTAATAGTATTTAAATTAAGTTAAACTTACCCTATGCATAATTCCAAGACTATGATAATAAGCCACACCTTTTAAAAGCATAATAAGATAGGCTTTGATCTGAGATTCTGTCAAAGGATTTTCCGTATCACGTAAAAGAATTGATAAATCTGTAGGCATATATTCAAAAACCAGTACCACACCAGCTCCATATGAGAATACATCCAACAATTGCACAATCTGTAAAAAAAAAAAAAAAAAAAAAATATTAATTTTTAATTAAATAAATATTTCTAATAACAATTTGTATATTAAATTAATAATTACTTTATTATTCTTTTCATTATATATATATCAAAAATAGTACATAGTATTTCAAGTACTACTGCTGTGAATGTAATTCTATGTATGATCTGGATGGAAAAACATCATTATCATATTTGTTATTAGGAGATAATATAATCAATATTTCTTTAGTAAATAAATTATTATTATTTTACTTTGCAGCTAATGCGCAAGTATTACAAAAACTTGTTTTCGAACTAAGTGAATTTAAGATCATACAACGTTATATATATATATAGTTGAATGCTGAATAGTCAGGCTTTTACTGTAGCATTTCACAAAATTCTTAGAACAATACTCCATTGGTTCTGTAAAGATTATGATTAAAAATAACTAAACAGTTTGCTACACCATGGAAAATCAGTACAAGAAACATTCTTTTGAAAAACATTAAAATTATACATTTAACTTTAGTCACATAGCTGTATCTGTATTTTGCTATTTTTTATAAAATATAAAAAACTTATTATTAATTTACCAAAATTCAAAAAGCCCAAGGTAGTTAAACAAATTAGCTTGTGACATTTTACTAAAGACTTATAAAGACTTAAGCTTAATTTCTTGTTATTATAAAAGAATATATACAGAACTTGTAAATCAAATACAAAAGTGAAGGGCATTTTATTAAACATTTACAAAGCATTAAGCTTAATTTCTTGTTAATATAAAAGGTATACATATAGAACTCAATCAAATATAAAAGTGAACGGCATTATTTTATGTGCATTCTTCCTATGTATAGTTTTTCAAAGAAAATTCACACCTTTTAAAAGGGCTGATAGACATTAGTTCTTGTTTCTACATAATATAAGTAGAAAATACTTTTCTGAAGTATTATCTACTTTTATACATTATACAACTATAAATTCCTTGCATTTTAAAATGAGAAGGAATTCTTGTTTTCACATAGAGTACAAATGATCTATCGTTTGAAGCATATTATGAATCCACAACATACAGTAAACCAGTGGTCTCAAACTCAAACTGCATGCAAGCTGAATGCATGATCCAAAAGCAGAAATGTAGCCTATATTTTTTTAACTGGTCAATTTTATTTGAAATAAAAACCATTTTTTTAATAAAACAATATTTTTCAACAAAATTAAATATAAAATTGTATTTACTGAATATTTATCAAAACATTAACAGTCACATTAAATAATTAATAATAAACAAAAAGTAAAAATTCCAATTAAAATTTATTTATTTTCTGCCTGAAATTTAAAGACTGACATTATAAGGAAATTTCCAAAGGTTATACTTTATAATTCTCTTACGCCGACAGCTAAATATTAAATTTTCAGACATTTTTTTCAAAAACCTCTTAACATGTTGAATATACCTCTTTTATTATTATTATTATTTATTAAATTCTGTTTCCACACATGTAGAAAAAAATTACTGTATTTGCATGTAAAAAATTATAAATTTCTTTATTTCTTGCTACAGCTTCACACTTTGTAGAGCTTCAATTCTTATGTTTGTAATCTTGGAGGAAAATTACTAGAAACTATTTTCATCACAAATTGGTAGAGATGTTAGCTGTCATGGGAAAGATAATTCACTCAAGTTTGTTTCAACTTCTCTGATTCAACAAAGTTTGAATCAGAAGATAATTTTGTAGCATAGTTTATTCATAACATAAATTTTTTTCACCGTGATCCACTTTAAACATTTATTTTGCTCAAACAAATTTAAACTTCTCAACATTCTCAAAATTAAAATTATTCTCACATTACAGATTCAGCATGAATTTTATAGTAATTTTGTAAACATCTCTACTTTCTACTCAGTTCAGAATACAAATGCTAACAGCTATTTTTAGAATTTGGAAAGGAAGTCAACACAGGTTGCTAAAATGATTTCAATAAACTTTACAATAAAGCATGGAGTATGAATATTCTCATTCACATTCCATGTTGTTTATATACTCAAGACTAATTGAAGGCATTTCTGGACATCCTTCCACCTAAGTTAACATTTGACCTCAGACCATACATGATGAAGTTAAAATGCTGATGAATACTTACATCAAATCTTAATCATATACCATACACTTTACATAGGTACAATATATAAAAAAAATATTTACAAAATATATAAAAATGGATATTAATATTAAAGTCACAAATTCAGTTTTTTTTGGGGGGGGGTATCTTAATTACTCATCCCATTCTGGTAACCACTGGTACAAGACTTGCAGTTTCCCAGTTATGTATTAACTTATCTTCTACCAAAATAGGAGCCTTTTTTAAGAAGATGATATGATTAGATACAGATATTTTTAATGACTACAAATGTTGAACTGTAACCAGTTTCATTACTCAATCTTTGCCTGGCATTATCTTGATATTTTTCCCAAGGTGCCAATTGAACCTTTTCGTGTTGTCAAATTAAATTAAAAAAATATCACCAATATTTATTTAAGGTGATCTTTTATTCTCTGAATTTTGAATAAGTGCTCCTATATATATTCACTTTGAAATCTTTTCAAGTTGTCTTACAAAAATTGTCTACTCATGACCTTCTGTTTAAGTTATAGTCTGCAGCATCACAATCTGGAATTCCATATGTTTGGATTCCTTGCAAAAACATAGCAGCATGAAAAGGAACAAGTTCATCATTCTTGGTGACATAGGTCAACGAACAATAACTGATAACTGACTTGCAGTCACACAGCACTGTTGTCATTTCCTCATAAGTTAACGCTTAGAAGACATGTGACTGAAATACAGACCAGAGTTGCAGTCTCAAAGAGATGGCTGTGGCCGAAATTTCAGCCAGAGAAATTCTTGCACCCCCCCCCACCATTCCACCCAAGATAATGGTCCGATGACCTTTGCACCTCACACCATGGAGTTTCGTGAATTCCCTTTCATTTTCCCTCAACAGTGGAATGTTAGCTCAAAGCAAAAATTTTCAATTGGGTTTCGCATGATTAACTTGAAACTCAAACTTAAACTGTCTCTAAAATGCTACACAAGTAACCTAACCAAACTGATATGTATATGTGTAAAGTACATATACAGTCAAAAGTCTTTAATCCAGACTCATCGGGACTTTGGCGATTCCGGATTATAGATCATCAGTTTAAATTTGGTAAGATGGCACGCAGAAATTATAAAATTAAAAATTGAAACCGTAATTTAAAATAATGAGCAATTATGATCTAAGGGTATCAAAATTTACAAAAAAGAAGCTAATAGTTTAATTATATACATTTCTTTCAACACGCGCATGCGTAAAGCATACATTACGCATAGCCGAAATTAGAAAATTGCAACCAGAAAAACTATTTGATTTGTATTCGTGATATTTATAATGACGAGGAAATTCGATTAATCATATCAAAGATGGAGTACATGAAATGAAATACTACTTTAGTAAGGAATTATAGCCAAAAAAATAAACAACATCTGCCTGAAGAAAACGATAGTGCTGACAGATCAACTTCCCATTTGTGCGCCGCAACGTCCCCCCCCCTGCACAGAGCAGCGTGAAATTATAACAGATTTCAGAACGGTTAGATAAACAAAGGATATGCCTTTACAATTTTTCGTAGCCAATTCCTTTTTTTTTTTGTTGTGGACATTCGAAACAAACTTTCGTTTTTAGAGCCTTGGGGAGCTCCAGCATCGGAATTTTTGACCAATCGAAAGTCAAGCTTACTTTTAAAAATGTCTACCGTGCAAAAAAATAATAGCAGATCCAATTGAAAATAAGAAACAACGCTATCATCAACATTAACTGAAATAGATAATTAGATAATTTTAGCTTAAACCATCCGTTATACATTAAACGCGCACGCGAAAACGTATTCTGCGCTTGTGCACACGCATATGCGCAGTTGTAAAGGTCTTGCGCGCACGCGTAAATGCCTATGTGCATGCGTCAACGCTTCGCATGCGCAGAAAGATTTTAGCTTTGAGGTCCGGATTATACAGTGGATGGACAAAAATATGGAAACACCGTGTGAAATGCATGTTTGAAAAGAAAAATTGATTTTAATGAAATATGTACGTGGCGATGGCGTTTTTTTGATACTGACGCCCCTATAAACTTCATAACTGTGAACAGTTCAGTTGTTGTCGAGTACTGTTAGTGCGATTGTCATTGCATTCTGTCAAAGTTAACAGACTTCGAAAGTGGGCAAATGTTGGAGCACGTATGGTAGTGCTTACGTAAGCAAAGTAGCCGAGGTGTTGTGTTTCAAGAGGTACTGTATAGAAGATTTATTCCGCATATTTGAAAAGCGGAAAAACATCATCTGCTAAATCACAGCGCGGATGAAAGTGTGTCCTGAGTGATCTTGACAGACGATCATAAGGGCATTGTGACGAAAAATAGAAGACTGAAAAAAGTTACTGCTGAAAATGAATGTTGTGTTACCGCTATGAGTACCAAAAGAGGAGCTTCATAAACAGGGGATTGCTGGCCGTGCGCAATTGAAGCCGCTCATCAGTGATGCTAATTGCCCTAACAGGAAAAGGTGGTGTTAGTCATAAAGCCTGGACTATAGAGCAGTGGAAGCGAGTAAATAGGTCTGAAAGTCTTCTTTACGTTTTTCCACTTTGGCCGAGTTACGCTGGAGAACGCCATCTCAAGCCTACTACAACTGCTTGTTGCCAAGTGTGAAACATGGCGAGGCTGTTAGGTTTGGCAGCCATATCATGGTTCTCTGCTAGCCCCATATAACTGTGTCAGGGCACATCAGGCACATGACTGCCAAGACTTATGTGAACATTTTGGCCGATCAAGTTCATCCCATGGTACAAATTGTTCCCCGATGGTGATGGTGTCTTCCAAGACGACAAAGCCCCTGTTCACAAAGCTCACATTGTCCAGGACTGTTTCTGAGCATGAGGATCAGTTGTTATCTTCCCTGCCACCACAGT